AAGAAGAGGTTCTATAAAGACAAAGAGAAAGACAAAGGAAAGTGTAGGCCCACTACTTAACAAGGAAGGAGAGCTAATGGACAACATCAAGAAAGCTGAAATGTATAATGCTTATTTTGCTTCAGACTTCACTAAAAAAGGTAATTGTAACTAGAAGTTTAACACAATTTATAATAATTGCACTTATTGCAATAGGTTACCTGCCATTTGGGAGTGACCATTGGGATGTATTTATTTATTTTCAATTTCCTAATCTGGGCTATATAAAATTTCAGCCGTTAGTAAGGGAGGCAACACAGAAAAGTGTTACTGAGGGCAGCTGGACTTTCCTAATGGAGAGAGAAAGAGGGATCACTCTCTGAGAAAAGTTAATAGGCAGCAGGAAAAGTGCTTGAGAAGGAAAGTGAGTTAAACGAGAAAGACAGGAAATATTTCTCTAAAAATACCAGCAGGATTTTAACTCCTAGTTTTAACTCCTCGGCATGAGCCTGGTGGAACATCCCAGTTGCTAAAGGTTTTTTGTTTTTACTCTTGACAGAAGCGGTAACAGCATAGAGTATGACCAAACCCCCTGCGGTCACAAGCCATCCGGGCCACTTATGAATGTTGGTCTCTGAATGTGCCATTGAGAGGTGTGAGAATCCTGTAAGGTGGTATCTTCAGAGAATCAGAATTACAAGAAAGGCATCCACAGTTGACCTAAATACAAACTGATTAAAAAGGAGAAATGTGCAGAAACAGTTGGAAGTTAGGCAAGGGGTCTAGGGGTAACAAACAGATGTCATATTTAAACTGTTTTCATTTGGTTGAGTACAACTGAAAAGAAGTTGGGAGTTTGTTTATTATCATCAATCTAGAATTTGGTCTGGATTCTGACCCCAACTCCAGCCCTCACACATTGCTCTGGTGGCATATAGGGTCCTTAAAGGGGATACAACAGGCACAGGGGAAATCCCTCTGCACAGTAGCAGTGTAGGGCTTATGTAAGCAGACCTATACTGCCCCACCTTACATGCCTTGGCCTGGGGGTGGGAGTGGGTGAATTAGAGGTGGGAGAAGTTATGCTCATAGTGCTTTGTGCTATGGGAATTCTAAGCTGCAGGGCAACCCAGAGAAACCCAGATACAGCTTCCAAAAAATAGTCGTCCTGAAAGCTGCTTTAACTTATGCCAGAAGCTATTTCAGTTTCCATGGTAGCCCAGAATTGGGGCAGCACAAAGGTGGCATTTGCCCCCAGTCTCAGACTGAACCTTCTGTGCTGCATCTCTCAGCAGAGACAGTACAGATTCTAGTCCCATGAGGGTTACTAGTTTTCACTACACATATTAGCATGCTTTTCAGTAAAAATGTGGCACTGATTTTAAGTCATGGTAATAGTGCATGTAAATTGAGAATGCCTTATTATTGCACAGTTGAAAATCTTGTCACTATCAATTAAAGAGTATGGACTGATTCATTCACTCCCTGTTATTATGGGAAAGAGACAATTGGAGAGAGTGGTTATGGCTGCTAAAACTAAAGGAGAGAAAAGATCTTTTGGTGGCTTCCTGAAGCCAGTTCACATTGTGCTATGTATTGGTATGGAAAATAATGCATTCTGTTCAATCCCATCTAAAATTTACTCTCCTGTGTTTTTTTTTATTAGATGCAGGGCTCCATCCTTATATTCCTAGCATCCAAGTTTTCTCTTCCCAGATTCCAAATTAATATAAAATTGGATGAGCTCTCACACATCTTTGGAATACTAATTAATAGTGAATACTTTAGTAAATGGAAGCTCAGCGAGATTGTGTCCAACGTCACACAGGAAGTCAGTGACAGAGTCATTAACAGAACCCAGTTTGCTCTTCCAAGTCCTGTACTTTAAACACACCATGCTGTCAAACTACAGTGTCTAATTGCCTTTAAGGTCCAAAGATCTGGGACAATGTATGGGATTGTGACACACAGGCTCATTTCTGGTTCACTGCTTGTGTCAGCAGCTCTTCTCAGGCCTGACATGCTCACTATACTTCACACACTGCGTCATGATATTTATATAAAAGGTGACATGTAATATATGGTTTGAAATCTAATAACTCATTGATCATTAATATTCTTGTGTGATATATGTAAATATATTTAAAACAGATAAGTCAAGGGAGTAGGTAAATGGGTCTGCCCTAGACAAAGGAATGTGTATTTGCTTCTCTGAAAAGCCTTCAGGGAGAAACAATGAAGGCCCATTTACATTTTAGGTAAATAAAGCTATCAAGCTAACAAGAGGTGAAGGAGTCGGTTTCCAGCAGGGAAGAGAAACTTTATCTGGGCTATAAAGACCAGGATAAGCAATTGACTCAACTGATTGTATACAGTATTACTGTATTATCAACGTTTTATCGAGTGAGATGTTTTATGATAGCCTATGACACACTGGCGGTAAATATCTTTGTCAAAAGTATGTATTACCACTATATGAGGAATTATGGATATGCATTGATATTAGGCTTTCCAGTCTGTGTCCAAACAGAGGGAAAACAGATGTTTCCCAGGGAGGAGGGAATGTCACTGGTGTTTACCTGTCTCCTATGTAAATTAAGCATGGTGAAATCAAAACAATGGAATCTCTATTTACATATAGGGAGATGGGAAGTCCACAGGAAGGGGAAAACAGCATGAGGTCATTCTGCTGCTTGAAATTAGGTCATTGAACTTTGGAAGATAAAAGCAGAGCCAGAAAGCCATTTTAGCATCCATCGCTAGAGAGCCACAAGGGAACAGAGCTCCTGAAAGCTGAGAAAGATGTTTCCTTCACCCAAGGGGGAGGCAGCGGTTGAAATCTCTGGGAATTGTGTATAGGTGAGAAACTTGCTTAGGAAAAAGATATTTCACCTAGGAAGACATGGGAAGCCAGCACCTTGTACTTCCGTGGAAGTTCCTGACTGACGGAAAGTCAGCTATGTCTGGAAGAAGATAGAGTGGTGAGAGAAATTACCTTGACCAAAGCCTGTACCTTGCTAGATTACATTTTAGACTTCTAGATGCATGTTTTCACTTTTGTTTGCTTGTAATCCTTTCTAATGTTATTCCTCTTGTGCTATTTTTAATACATTTGTTTTATTTTTACTATAAACCAGCTCAGTGCTCTGTTTCAAAGGAAGGGTGTATTTACCTCAGTTAAGTTAATAAGATGTATTGTGCTTTTGTCTCTTTAAAGGCACAATGAACCGTATTATTTCTCTGAGCTGTCCAGGAGAGGGCTGGACATTGCTGAGCACATGGTTTGGGAGAAATTTGGGGCTGGAAGTATGTTGTAGTCACCTTGCTGGTTGTAACCGAGGCTGGTGGAAGTCAGAGTAGGGCTGTAGACAGGCTACTGGGGTCAGAGCTGCTGAACTAGGGCTGTCTAGAACAAAAGCACTCAAGGTGTGACCTGCATGCTTTTACGCTAGCTCGGAGCATCCCAGGCTGGAAGCTACAGCAGCAAAGCATTGGGTTACAGGGCAGTGACACAACCCCTCACAGGTCTCAATTGCACTCCCCAAACCCTGTGACACGGACTCAGTCCAATTGCCATTGTAGTCAATGAAGAGACAGACTCCCAGTGACTTCAATAATAGCTGGATCATGCCCTTCATTAGCAATAATTCTTGCCAGGTAAAGTGTCCTTTTAAATATTTGTGAATATACTTAGGGGTAATTTCTGCATTAGTCACTGTATAGGCTATTTTAAGGGTCTATAGAAGTGGATACTGCAGACTAATGCTTGTTTCCAGACATTTTATTTTAGTACATCATAATTCTACTTCATATACTTTTAACGAGATTCACATATTTTTGTTTGTACTGAGTCATGTCCCTATTGGCACATAAAATAGCATTATGAAGCTGACCAGCCTATGTAAAGAACTTCCTCATGAACCTTCTGTTTAATATAGCTGTTCCTTTCTTTGCAGAAGTCGGCTATCATAAAAGATTATGGCCTCTTAAATGACAAGCTTAAAGATGAGCGTGATTATGAAAAAGAATGGAGGGAGGAGTCATATATATATATATATAACTAGTTTAAAGCAACATTTGGAAAATTGCTTGAAAAAATGAATGGAGTTTTATTTATAAGTTGAATGTTTTCTTTTCTAGTTTTAAATATAATTTATATGCATCATAAAATGCTAATAAAATATAAAAAAAATCTAAGAAGGCAATTGCTTATCTGTTCATGTTTTCCCCTTGTTAAACTATTTCTTGTGCAATTTTGTGCTGTTTAAGGTTGCATTTTCATGAAAAATTGAGAAATTGGCAATCACTTATCTTTTATCTGTTGCTGTAAATTAAAATATTAATCTTTTAAATATTTCTTTTGTGCAAAAAGAGAGCTGCAAAAGAGAGCAAACTAGATTAGGATGCAACATTTATGTGTATAGTGAATTATGGGGAAAATCAGACTTATTATATATAAAAACTCTAATTATTATAATTGTGAAAGTGAGTTCTACCTTTAGTATGTACAGTTCACATTTTACACGCTTTTGGTTTAATCCTGAATTCCTTAGACAGACGAAAATCTTAGCAGAGTCTGTGGGCATTGTGTCTTCATATGCATGTAGGGCCTGTTAGAGTCTTTCCAGTTTTCAATGGGCTCTGTATAAGTCTCTTAAGGATTAGGTATATTTATAGGGTACATACTGTCTTTGGAAAGAAATTAAAATATTTTTGAATAATTCCTAGTGCAACATGCAGTGGACACTTGTTTGTTCATATCACGGGATTATATGTTTGTTGTCTGAGATACACAGCTAAATAAAAGCTGTATATTATATTCTACTTTCAGGGATAACTTCTTCCATTTCCAATTTGAGAAATGTGGTTGAATGGGAGTAGTCCGGTCACAAAAATCAAACAGGAAAATGTAATGTTGATCCATCAGACATGAAAGTAACTTCAAGCATTTTGTAGAAGAAATGAAAATATAAATCTGTAGTGATTTTTCTTTAAAATTTGCACTTCAATTTTTTTTCCAGTCGCCCCCACAATTCAGGAACTTAAATCCAGTGGTGTGATGCTAGGAGGTAATGGATTGATAAGATGTGAAAGTGCAGGAGTTCCTGCTCCAGTCTTTGAGTGGTACAAAGGAGAGAGAAAGTAAGTAACCTGCATGTATTTATTGTATACCAGTCTAATGCTGTTCTGCATATTATAAGCCTTGTGTTATAAAGAGAGGCATCAGTGGAGTTTGGTGTAGTACTAATGTTCAGTTGATTTACAGTAGGAAGATTATGATGAAGAAACAACATACTGACAGGGCTTAACTTCTAAGTTTGAGTCCATTAAGGTGTAAAGAAGCATTTATAAGATGCAGTCAGTGTATCTTGTGGATAGCTTTGGTTATCATGTTCCTGGTTTTAGATTGGGGACCTATTATTTTATTCCCAATCCAGTCTCCAAAGCAGGGATAAGCAACCTATGGCACGCGTGCCAAAGGCGGCACGCGAGCTGATTTTCAGTGGCACTCACACTGCCTGGGTCCTGGCCACCGGTCCAAGGGACTCTGCATTTTAATTTAATTTTAAATGAAGCTTCTTAAACATTTTGAAAACCTTATTTACTTTACATACAACAATAGTTTAGTTATATATTATAGACTTAGAGAAAGAGACCTTCTAAAAACGTTAAAATGTATTACTGGCACGCAAAACCTTAAATTAGAGTGAATAAATGAAGACTCGGCACACCACTTCTCAAAGGTTGCCCACCCCCGCTCCAAAGTCTTTTCAATTTTTCCAGTGGACCTGTACTCACATGCAAACAGATCAGATCTTTCAGCACATCTGAGGAATACCTTATACATTTTAATGACACTGCATTGAACATTGCAGTGCTCCCTACTAAACCCAACGCCTGGGTATCAGACATAGTGCAGGAGCCAAGTTGTGTGTGCAAATCAAAGTAACTGAAAGAAACAATCCCAGCAGCATGGGAACCCTGAGAATCCCTCCTCCCTACTCAGAAGGTGAGAAGGAAGGAACTAGTAGGACAAGGCATCATTACAACCTCTCTGGAGAATGAGGGATGGAAAGCCTCCTCTCTCTCACAGAAACCAAGTGAAACATTGGAAGAGTCCTCTCCCAGCATTAGGATGAGATGAGAAAAGCCCAACATTCCCTTCAGCAATCAGAAGGGAAAGATTATTATGCACTGTTGTCAGATACTATAATAATGGAGGCTATATAAGTACCTAAGATGGATAGAAAAATCACAAAAAAAACGGGAAATTTTTATTATCATGACAATAGCTACAGCCAATTTCTATTTTGAAAAAAAGGCTGTTCAACCAAAAGACTTGGGGCGGGGGGACAAGTTCTGCCATTTGTGGTCTGAGGAACAGATCCAACTTGTGTGAATTGCCATCATTCCACTGAAGTCAGTGGAGCTAGGATGCTTTATGCTAGCTGAGAATATGGCCCAGGGTTTACTTTCTCTCATCTTGCATGCTGAAAATCAATAAAGTGTTTTTCTTATTTGTTTGTAGTCAGTTTGATTTGTAGGTGCTTAATGCTACCTAGTTTGAGTATCCCTCTCCTCCACGGCATCTTTCTTTATTTAAAAACAACTGCTTTCATTGCAATATTTTTAATGTGAAAACTGTTTTACAGCTCTTAGGTTTATATAAAAGTTTATTTTTACAAAATTTAAATATTGGGGCAAATTTAAGTTGTCAGTGTTTAAGGCATATGCACAAGGGGACAAAATGAATGTTCACTTTAGCTTTTGGAATTTCTGGATTGTTAAGTGCTTGCTTTCTCAACTTTAACTTCCCATTAATGCTGGGATTTAACACGGAATATTAATGGGCATTTTTCATAGAAAACAATTAGTCAGAACATTTCTGACTGGCCAGCTGCTCTTCTTGAGATTTGTTCCCCTATAGGAGTATTAGCTGTCCCCTTTGCTCCACAACTTCACAGAATGGTCCTGAATACCATACTCAGATGAGTTGCAAAGTGTTTTTTTAATGTGGTGCAACTGAGACTTAGCACTAACAGTAGCAGAAGATTATCTTCTTTAGAGGGAACCCCCTAAATCCTGCTCCCAAAGGTTCACACTTTGTCTCTCCCCCTTTATTATACAAAAAAACTACCATTATGTTCAAGAAGGATTTGTTGTTGGGTTTTTTTGTTTTTTTTTTACAAGCAATGTTGCAGTACTGTTTGCATACATTATAGAGTCTGGACTCAACTGGAGACTCCTGATTTGATGTCAGTAATATCCATTAAATGCATGGATCTGACTGATTCCCTTATTTTTATGTATGAACTCAGTTTCATGAGAGCAGTAAGACACAACAGGCAATGCATTTCAGGACAATAAAGTCATTGCTGTCTGCCTCTTGCTTCAGTTATAACATCACCTGAGGCTTATTTTAATCACCCAGAAATGCACAACCCTATTGTCTCTTATTGCTTAAGTATTTTTAGCATATGCTTATGTTAAGTCTAATGGTAAATAGTATTTTTGTTAAAACGTTGTTTATAGACACACTGCAGATACTGAACATTTGCAGAGATTCTAGTATTTTTTAACATTGCAGAACCTTCCCATTTGCAAGAAAGTCACTTTTTTTTTACTCCTACATTGCTGTGTTTCCCAATACTATCCCTGCAAGTATCATCTCTGAAAGATGAAAAATCTATAGAGTACGATGCTGGTAAAGCCAATTCCCTGCTGTAACGCACAACTGAGAAATGTCAATTTTCAAAGGCAGTTCAGGAAAAGACTGTGCAGAGCGGTGAACAGATTATTTATTGGCGTGGCTAGAGTAACTTGCGGGAAATGTTAGGGCCCAATTCACTTCCTTCTGAAGTCAATGGAAACACTTCCATTCCTATAATGAGAACCGGATTGGACCCTAAATTAATGCTGAGTAAATTTAAAAACAAAATTAAGTGTTGGGGTTAGTTTGAAAAAGACCCAAGAATATCTGTATCTGAAATAACTACTATGACTGTTGAATTTACAAACTGTTTCATTCACTTGGATCTAAACACAATAAAAAGTTGCCTTGTAAGGCTCTAGGCACCCTGGCATCCATTCAAAATACAGTCCATAAAATAAGGGGGGGGGGGAAACAGTCACAACCCGCCATTGCATAAAGCTAGTCAGCAAAATTAAAAAGTTGCAAAACAAATTGTACCCCATCAGTAAGTTCCACTCAAACCCCAACCCATCCACCCTTCATAAGCGTCTTTTCAGAAAGATGCTTCATGCTCTGAAGGTCAACAAATTCAAGCTAGTTTGGACCAAGGCGAGGAGTAAACCCCAGTGTAAAAACACCTTCACACAAAACATTTCATGCGAAGTTCTGTCTTTAGTAAGCTAAGGGATCTCCAGTTCAAGTACCATATAAATCTCAGCTATAGCATGTGGGACAGGGAGAAAAGCAGTCTCCATTTAGAGCTTCATCTGTCAATACCAATACCTGAAACTCCACCTGGAAGCCAGTAGTCAACCACTGCAGATCTCAGAGCACTGATGAATGTGCATACCATAAGATGTGAGATGCCATTTAATATACAGGACAACACATTCTGCAGTAACATTCAGCTCGTGAATTAATTTAATTGGGCTGGAACCACCTTGAAAATACAGCTGGGTGAAATTTTTCAGACAAAACTTTTTTGGTGGGGGGGGGGAAATGCAGATTGTGGACAGTCAAAATATTTTGCAAATTTGTCGCAAATTTGCTAATTGTTTCAGTTGGGGAAAAAAATAAAAAAAATGCTGAAAATATTTTGTCTCAACATTTTCTAAATGAAATGTTTAGACTTAGATTCAAAACAATTTTGAATTTTTACTTCAATTTTACAAATTTTACTTCAACTTTATTTAATTTTTGTAAGTTAAAAAAATTGATAATGAAATTTAGTGTGTTAGGTTGAACAAAATGTTTTATTTTGCCAGAAACAATATTTTTTTATTTTTTCAGTTTACCAAAAAATTCAATTTTTTATTCATTTCAGGTTCACCCGAAACAAAATATTTTTCTAATTTTTCATTTTGGCCACTGAACTGCAAAATCAGCTATTCACACAGCTCTATTTGATAAGTTTTTCATGAGATTTCCTGTATTTGTACTTTAAACTCTGTCTAAAAACCCAGATGACAAAATTGCATAAAAATAGGGACTGAAGGGATTTGTGGAGGATTTATCAATATATTTCAGAATCTCAAAATAAGGTTTGGTTTGAGCTGGGCTTTGGAACAGGACACAGATTTTTGGGCACGGGTGGTGGAGTGGGATTTTATTTTATCCTACTGATCCATATTGATAATGAAATTTAGTGTTTTAGGTTGAACAAAATGTTTCATTTTGCCAGAAACAATATTTATTTTACTTTTTCAGTTTACCAAAAAATTCAATTTATTTTTCATTTCAGGTTCACCCGAAACAAAATATTTTTCTAATTTTTCATTTTGGCCACTGAACTGCAAAATCAGCTATTCACACAGCTCTATTTGATACGTTTTTCACTTTGTCTACAGTACAGGGTTAAACCATTATGAGGGAGGCAGCCCAAAGTTCTTTAATCTAAAAATATTAATTCCATTAAAATTGATAAAGAAAACAAAACATACATTTCAAATAACCTAATAAAGACTAAAATCATGATAATGGTCTAATAGATTATAGTAACATTAATTGATTCAAATGTGAGACTAAAGACAAATACCCATTGGGGCTAATACTGATGCATGATCTTCTGTAATCTGTTTCTAGGTATAATATCTGGAATAAAAGTGAGATCTTATTGTACTGGAAGGCCTCAAGTGCAATATAGCAAGGTGAACAAAAAGATGATGTAGCTGCATTCTCTTAAAGTGCAGTTGCTCTCTGAAAAGTGACTGGTAAAAATGGCTAGAGTTTTTGTATTGACTAAGATACATTGTTGTAAGCAAAAATGACAGTGAACAGGTCTTGCATACACCACACAACACTGAGGAGTCAGGATCCTAAAAACGAAGGCAGTAGAATATATACTTTCATTTCCATGGGAGGCACAGTGACATAGTAGACTCCTGGACTGGACCCAGGAGACATGGGTTCTGTTCCTGGCTCTGCCTCTGGCCTGCTGGATGACCTTGTGCAAGTCACTTTGACCTCTCTATGCATCAATTTCCCCATCTTTAAAGTGGATATAATGATAATGACCATTCTTTGTAAACCCCTTTAAAATATACTGATGAAAAGTGTTATATAAAAGCTAGGTAGTATTATTATTATTTATTTAAAAATAAATGTTTCTAGCCTTATAGTTGCAAAGAAAACCTAAATTTGCACCGTGTTAACCAGTACAGTGCTGTTTTCCTGGTCTGCAGACAGACAGCTTCTGTGCCTTTATTGCTGCTCAAAGCTTTCTCAAACAGTGGCAGAGTGAAATTAATAAGACTTTGATCAATTTTAGTGTTGCTGTTCAGAAACCTGGAGAAAAGTAGTGAACTGTCTGTCAGTTGCATGTGCTACTTCTTGAGAAAGTTATTAACCACCAGCAGATACAAGCACTGGAGTTATTCCTTGGAGAGAATGACATGAAAAGGAGGATAAGGGTACAGTAGGAGGAGACTCTTGAGTGGGAGGGCATTGGTGGTAGAGATGGAAAGCTCATTTTCCATTCCAGCAACTTAAGGGGAATGAAACTTCAGATTCCTCAGGCTCCTTTACTTGCTTGATACAAATGATGTAGACCCCAAGAGAGCCTAGAGGCAGCACTCTGGTAGGAATCACAGATCTCCATCCCTTTCCCAGGAGCAGGAGAGCTGGGCTTATAGTCAGCTGGATATCAACCTAAAATAAGTGCTATATCTCAAACAGAAGTTATGGACTTGATACAGAAATTATTGGTGAAATTCCATGACCCACCCTAAATGACTCCCAGGGCCTAAAGGGGCACACTCTGCCTCCATTCCCCAATAGCAACAGCAGCCAGTTCCCCCTTCACATCCAAGGGACTGGTACGGTGGGATGAAAGGTTCAAGAGGAACTTGGGAGTGGTAAATAGAGTTAAGAGGTACAGGTAGGGGAAAACCACCCTTAGAGGACCCGGGAACTGAGGGCAGCTGTGATCGCTGAGGGAGCTGTGATAGACGGAGAGGAATTTGGAGGTGGGAATAAGTCAGGGGGACAGGTTGGAGGTCACAGAAATTCAGGGGGGTGGGGAAATGAACAGGGACAGGGGAGTTCTGAGGCACAGAAGCTGGGAAAACAGAAAAACCTAAAAGAAATTAGGTGTGATAGGGAAGCTGAAGGTGGCAGAGGCTGAATACACAGAAATGGGACCCGGTGGACCAAACTGGAGGAAACACGGAGAGGGAGATAAGGAGAACAGCGGGAGGCAAGACATTAGAAAGGATGATGGAGCAATAGAGATGAGGAGGAGTAGGAGGAAGCAGAGGCAGGAGGAGGGATGAGGAGTGAGTGTGGGAGGAAGAGTGAGGAGGATGAGTGAAAGCTGGGGTGATAGAAACCCGGGAGGACAAAGAGAATGAGCCAGGGCATTGCAAAGGCTGTGAGCATGGACAGTGAAGCTAGGAAGCATGAAGGTGGAGGCAGGCAAAGTCCAGCAACTATAAGGGCTAGTGGCATGAGGGAGAGAACATGGTGGAAGCAGATAAGAGGGGACAATGAGGAAGGGAGGAGATATTCAGCGATGGAATGAAGAATGAGGGAGGACAAAGTAAGAGGGATTTTGTGGGGAAGAAGGAAAGAATAAAGGGAAAGGATGACTGTCTTAATAGGTAGATTAGGCCTCGGAGATTAAAAGCTCTAACCAAAATATGCTGCTGTCAACACCTGGGAAGCACAAAAGGCAATGTGGCCAGACATCTGGAGAGCTTGAGAGAGGCCAAAGCGGTTTGCAACACCAAAGTCAGTACTTGTAATGCAGATGGGCTTTGGTGTGATAGAATAGGACTTGTACTGCTTGGAACCTCATGGGGGTAGGGCCTCATGGCTCTGTGTTGGAGGATCTTTCTCTCCTCTGACACAAACTTTGTGGACCAAAGATTTTCTCTTGTTTGACTTTTTTGGTTTTTTTGGGGGTGGGGGAGATTTAATATTGTTTTCATATCCTTCTGTTGTAGCTGCCATGATCACTGGCATCTGTTGGGTTTATACGAAAGCATAAAAGACTTTAACACTTACATTTGGCAGATCTGACCACTGGATTGGGCAATGTAAAACCCAATGCAAGGCCCTTCCTGCAAAGCTTTCTATTAGCTTCTTTGCTGCTGATCACTAGAGCAGTGAAAATGGTCTTTGCGGCACCAAAGTACTATTTAGCACTGAAATTTTGAAAGACATACTAGATATATGATGCAACACTGCATGTAAGTTTGGCATTACGTACATGGTACACTGTTCAACAGCTAAGTGGTAAGTTTTTGAGGAGCCCAGAACTGCAAAGCAGTAGCGTCACAGTTTTTCTGTGGGTGGTGGAGGAAAAGAAGGAAAAGAAAGTTGTAATTTCAGAAGGCAAATAGCCATTTACAGTAATATATATTTTGCCTTTCACGAGTCTGGAGGTAAAAATGGATTTTGTTACTATTCTTCTTACCCACAAAACCAAATTTTCAATCCTCTGTTTTTTCTTCAAGTAAGTTATCTTAGTTTGTTCCTGACCTTACAGTGCCCACAAGGCAGTACATAGCCACTGGAATTTGATATATTCTTTTTTAGTGTATGGTTTAGCCAATACACTCAGCCAACAGATATAAAAAACAGTACAGAACTCTTAGTGTGTTGACTTACACTGAGAATATAAAGTACACACTGCAATGAAAATCTAATTTATATGCAGGAAAGTATAGTGATTAAATGAAAACTAGAAGCGTTAATGAAATGCAGTAAAATATTCAATAATCAATATGCAGATGTACTATTAATAATGATAGATTTGCATTTTGAGGCAGAATATTAAAAGATTGCATCCCTCTCCTGGATTTACAATTCTCTGCTTCCATATATCAAAATTAAAGAGTAACATGTTTATATAAGCCAAAATTCTGCTCTTAATATGAAATATAAGCAATACTCTGAGTAATCAAGCATAGCTGGTTATTTTCATCATATATCTAACTCTTGTGTCTGACTTGGTTCGATGCAGCTTGTGCATTCTTCCCTACCATGATAAATGATAAAGACTGAGATTTTCCTCTCAACTCAGGTAAAGTCCCATGGCTGCCCCTCAACTCCAGGATTTTTCTGGGCCGTTTAAAAAACCTTGATATTAAATAATATTTGCTATCTCTTATCCGTACAGGTGCTTATCACTACAGTGTCTGCTTTTTACATAGGATGAATTATGTATCCCTTATCTTTGGTGAATCTAGAGAGTGGAAAGACTCAAAAATTGATGTTCATTTGCCTGGAAACACTGTTCCCCTTCTAACTTGGTTAATATATCTTTCTCCTATGTGGTAGCCATGGTTGTGGAATGACCATAAATTCAAGTAGTTGCTCCTCTAGACACCTGGTTTGTGTTTAGAGAAACAACTACACAACCAATGAGGAGGATCTTGAAAAAGTTCCATGCAAAAGCTTTCCTGTAAAGCAAAGAGAGATGCAGAGTAAAGATAGGAATAATACTGTTTCCCTTTTCCTAATAAAATCCCTTGTTTGGCATTAGGAATAAGTAACTCTTTCTGCGCTTCTTTACCATTTTTGCATGACAGGGACTAGTTGGAAGCGTGGGACTCTCCAGCAAAGCCAAAACAAAAAAATGTGGGAGAAGTAATCCTTATTTTGAGCCTTATTATTGGGGGCACTTTGCCCTTCATCTCAGGAGCTGGAAACCAGGCGAATCCTCACCTGGAAAGATGCAAACTGGCTGCTTTCTGTTTTCTTTGTGCTGCAAGACAAAGGAAAGTAGAGCAGTGCTCACCACTTCAAAGTTGCCACTCAGGCTGGAGGACCCCTCTCCATAGGCTTCAGAGCCCAATCTTCAACTTGAGCCATGTCTATGCATCTAATTGTAGTGTGGTAGTGTGAGCCCTGCAAACCAAGACCATCAACCTGATCTGGGAAGCTCGCTTCCACAGGCTGTGTAGATGCTGTTGTGACCACACTATGATAATTGGATGACTTTGCTTTATACTTTGTTTGTTAGCACTAATGGCTCAATTTTCAGACTTGGCACTTAAATTTATCACAACACTACTTTACTTGGACACTCAGTTATATATTTTAAACAGTTATGTGCCAATTTAAATATCCAAGTACAGGATTTCACCTTCCTATTAAGGTGCCAAGATTTAAAAGCTGGGCTTTCTATTGTCATACTATATGGTTTGTGATATAGGGCAGTGGTAGTTAGATGAAAGTGAGCATTACATCGTATTATTGTCCGTAGACTGTAGAACGAATTGGCAGGAAATCGTATCAATGTAATACTATCCAGTTATTGCTTTGCCAGTGCTCCCCAGCTCTGCCATTGTGTTAGCTTTATTCCACTGGCTAGTTCCCCGCTGTTAGCTCCTGGTAGCAGTCAGGCATCATAAGCAAATAAAGAAAATGCAAACATGATTGCTTCAGCCATATGATTTACAGAAGATTTTCCTTTTGCCTTCTAGACTGATCAATGGTAAACATGGAATTACTATTAAAAACTATAGTACAAGATCACTTCTCACTGTCACCAATGTAACAGAGGAGCATTTCGGCAACTACACATGTGTCGCTGCCAACAAGCTGGGGGTGACCAATGCCAGCCTGCCTCTCAACCGTAAGTAACATGGATGTATGGCAAAATGTTGATAATTGTGTTTGTTTCTCTACAGTTGTGGATGGAAAAGTATAAGAATTCAGCATGCTTGTTTTGGTTTTTTTTTTCACAGGGAGTGTGAATACCATAGCATACATTCCTTAATAACTGCAAATACACAAATCTAACTACTCACTTTCTGAAAATAATACAGTGAGCTTTAGAAAGCCCTTTATTTGGGGGATGGAGAGAAGCTTTAAGTGAATCCAAAAGCACCACATGTTCAGTGGCGGGGGATTGCTACTAAAACATGATGCTAAACTTGGTTTCTGTCTCTTTTTCACTATTCTGATGGAGTAGAATCTGTTGTCTTCTCATGCTTTCTCCTTGAGATGTCCAAGAAATATTCAAAACTTTACATACTGGAGATGCAAAAATCCAAGGTCTTATTGCAAGTATGAAATTAGCATGACAAAATCCATCTCCATGGAATACCAATAATGCATGCCGAAGATTTTACTGTGAACAAAACAAGAAAACTTTCCAGTCTGTTCAAGGAAGTAATACCTGAATATGCACAGCCAGGGATTACACTCATGGAGGTGAACTGTCTCATAACTCTATCCTACAGATTTTATTCTGACACATTTTTCCCAATCTACAGACCAGTTCTCATAAATTCCTCAGAAAACCTGTCTGAATTTAAGATTGAATCTTTCTGAAAAGCCAAGAGTGGTTGTGATGGACAAAGCAGAGTAGCTTGGTGATTAACACCCAATTTCTTTTGCATAGAATGAGTCTCAAATATCCTGTTTCAATTATCTTCTACTTTTAGAGTTAAGGCCTTTATCTGTGGTTGCAGTACTTCTGTAGTTGATCTGTGACATCTGTGATAGCGATATCTGGAGATATGTATTGTCTATCAGGTGAATTATGTGTATTATGAGCCCCAGTGCCTCCTGCTGGGCAGAAGCCCCAGCTTCCTGACCCCAGGGCTAAAGATCCGAGACTAGGCAACTCCCCAGGTCTAAAGCCACGAGGCCTCCCAGCCTGCAGCTGAAGCCTGGAGCCCCGAATGGGAGCGCGGGTGGCACAGGGGCTCCAGGAAATAATCCCTGGAGAATTTTAGCCCTGATATTTTACTTGTATTATTTAAAGCAGAAGAAAAGAGTCTGAATCATCATAGAGTAGTATGAAGCCTATTTATATTGCTTCAACAGGGAGAATATATTTAACGTTTGAGATGTCATTAACCAAATGAGAAAATGGTTACAAATGTTTTTAAGCTAAAATACAAGACACCCCATACTATACACCCCATCCTCCCAAAACAATAGCATTCCACATGAGAGTTTTGAGTAAATGTAAGTAGTAGAGCTTCCCCTACATTTCCAAACAAATTGGATAAAATGTGGCATACTTTTATTGATACGAACATACCTGAATTTTGGGGGAAAGCTCATTTACTTGTACAGCTGTTGTTATTGTGTCTATTAAAGACATGTGGCTGAATCCTAAAATATGTTTAATCTCTGCTCAGCGCAAGTGAGGAGCAAAGATGACTAGAGGCCACCTTTACACACCCAGCTCATTCCTGGTGAAATTTAGCCTTTGAATTGCTCTAAGTTGCATTGCCCATTACTAGCAAATGGGTTGTCCTGCTGGCCAACGATTACTAGTGTACAGAAGGATCTGGCTCTGTCCCTTAAGCCTGGGTTGGTGGGAAGAGGATGTTGTAAAGCCAACTACAACAGCTCTGTCCCACATGGGTATTTACACCACATCAAGGAATCTCCAGCTGTTAAACCATCTTTCCACCTGATTTGCACTGCTGGAGCAGCACAAACAGAAGAAGAATCTGGTGAAGATCAGGTCCATAGTGCATTCCATACTGTTTGGATGTAATCAAAATTTGTATGGGACCAGAATTTGGGCAGGTGAAAGTCAGGAAAGTGAAAATAGGCAAATGAAAATTTGTTAAAATTTTTATGAAATTTGTATCTGTAAAGAAATTCTGCCCCCTTGATAACCTCTAGTTCAGGGAGAAGCCAGAGTCAGTTCAGGGAATGAAACAGTATTGTATAGTTTCCTTCACTCCCCAGTTCATGTGCAGGAGCAAGTTCAGGTGTTGCAGAAGCCAATTCAGATGGGTGGGGGCGTAATGAGGGAAGAGAGATGTATCACATCATGTGTGGGAGCCTGTCCTTGGAGATGCAGGGTGGTATGAACCCTTCCTATGCTTGAAAACTAGTTCACTTGAAATAACAGCTGGTTTGGGAGGCAGCTCAGAGGTCAGCCGAAGTCTGTGTGCCAGAAGCAACAGAATAGAACTGAGAGCTGGAAAATACTATCATGGTTCTATTATGATGATAGTAGATACAGCCTGAGCATCTTTGGGCTGGTCCACACTAACCCCCCACTTCCAACTAAGATACGCAACTTCAGCTATGTGAATAACATAGCTGAAGTCGAAGTACCTTAGTTCGAACTTACCACGAGTCTAGACGCGGCAGGCAGGCTCCCCCGTCGACTGTGCGTACTCCTCTCGCAGAGCAGGAGTACCGGCGTCGATGGCGAGCACTTCCGGGATCGATCCCAGAAGATCGATTGCTTACCGCCAGACCCGGAGGTAAGTATAGACGTACCCTTTGTGAAGCACTCAGAGAGATGTAAGGATTGACAAGGATATATAAAGTGCAAAGTATTATTATTGTTGTTAATAACAGAAATTTTGCATCATAAAAGATAATGGCAGATCCGAAGTGGAACAGAATAACAGAAAATAATGGAACATGGGTCTGATCCTGCATTTCATGTTGTAGAATATGATAGTCACATTTGCACTGTGAACGTCAGTGAGAGTTTTGAGTGTGCAAGTAATACAGGATGAGGTACTTTATAATATTTTGTTGTATTATATTAGTGTTACACAAATCAAGTTATGGCTTGTCAGGAGTTAATGAACTGCACAAGAATAAGGAATTCAGGATTTTTGAGTATCAGAGGGGTAGCCATGTTAGTCTGGATCTGTAAAAAGCAACAAAGAGTCCTGTGGCACCTTATAGACTAACAGATGTATTGGAGCATAAGCTTTCGTGGGTGAATACCCACTTCGTCAGATGCATGTAGTGGAAATTTCCAGAGGCAGGTATAAATATGTAGGCAAGAATCAGTCTAAAGATAATGAGGTTAGTTCAATCAGGGAGGATGAGGCCCTCTTCTAGCAATTGAGGTGTGAACACCAAGGGAGGAGAAACTGCTTTTGTAGTTGGCTAGCCATTCACAGTCTTTGTTTAATCCTGAGCTGATAGTGTCAAATTTGCAAATGAACTGAAGCTCAGCAGTTTCTCTTTAAAGTCTGGTCCTGGAGTTTTTTTGCTGCAGGAGGCTACCTTTAAATCTGCTATTTTGTGTCCAGGGAGGTTGAAGTGTTCTCCTACAGGTTTTTGTATATTGCCATTCCTAATATCTGACTTGTGTCCATTTATTCTTTTACGTAGGGACTGTCCAGTTTGGCCGATGTACATAGCAGAGGGGCGTTGCTGGCACATGATGGCGTATATTACATTGGTGGAAGTGCAGGTGAATGAACCGGTGATGTTGTGGCTGATCTGATTACGTCCTGTAATGGCGTCGCTGGTGTAGATATGTGGGCAGAGTTGGCATTGAGGTTTGTTGCATGGATTGGTTTCTGAGTTAGAGTTACTATGGTGCAGTGTGTGGTTGCTGGTGAGAATATGCTTAAGGTTGGCGGGTTGTCTGTGGGCGGGTTGTCTGTCATCAATGTAGCATAGGTAGAGAAGGGGCGTGAGTGGACGAGAGCTGAGGAAGCATTGTTCCAGGTCAGCCATAAAAATATTGGCATATTGTGGGACCATGTGGGTGCCCATAGCAGTGCCACTGGTCTGGAGGTATATATTGTCACTAAATTTGAAATAATTGTGCGTGAGGATAAAGTCACAGAGCTCAGCAACCAGTTGTGCTGTGTCATCATCAGGGATACTGTTCCTGACAGCTTGTATTCCCTCTGTGTGTGGTATGTTTGTGTAGAGAGCCTCTACATCCATGGTGGCTAGGATGGTGTTTTCTGGAAGATCGCCAATGCATTGTCGTTTTCTCAGGAAATCAGTGGTGTCACAGAGATAGCTGGGAGTGCTGGTGGCGTAGGGTCTGAGTAGAGAGTCCACATATCCGGACAGTCCTTCAGTGAGAGTGCCAATTCCAGAGATGATGGGGCATCCAGGATTTCCAGGTTTGTGGATCTTGGGTAGTAGATAGAATAACCCCGGTTGGGGCTCTAAGGGTATGTTGTTTTTTTGTTCCTGTGTGGTGTAGGGAGTGTCCTGAGTAGATGGTGCAGTTTCTTAGTGTATTCCTCAGTGGGATCTGAGGAAAGTGGCCTGTAGAATTTGGTATTGGAGAGTTGTCTGGCAGCCTCCTTATGGCAGTCAGACCTGTTCATGATGACAACAGCACCTCCTTTATCAGCCTCTTTGATTATAATGTCAGGGTTGTTTCTGAGACTCTGGATGGCATTGCGTTCTCCACAACTTAGGTTATGAGGCAAGTGATGTTGTTTTTCCACAATTTCTGCCTGTGCACATTCTATGTATAGGTCCAGACTGTCATTTCGACCCTCAGGAGGAGTCCAGGTGGAGTAGTTCTTCTTGTGCTGTTGGTGGGAGGGTATCTGTGTATCAATGCACTGTTCAGTGTTATCTTGAAAGTATTCTTTGAGTCGGAGATGGCGAAAGTAGGCTTCCAGATCACTGCAGAAGTGTATCATGTTCGTGGGGGTGGTGGGGCAAAAAGAGAGTCCCCGAGATAGGACAGACTCTTCTGCTGGATTGAATGTGTAGCTGGATAAATTTACAATATTGCTGGGTGAGTTAGGGGTACCATTGTTGTGGCCCCATGTGGCAGGTAGGATTTTAGACAGCTTACAGTCCTTTTTCCTTTGTAGAGAGGTGGAGTGTGTAATGTAGATCTCCTGTCTTATTTTAGTAAAGTCCATGTGTGTG